TTGTGAGACGCTAGCTCCGAAGCTAACAACAACACAGAGCACAGGCTGAGGGGGAGGGGGGTAGTGGGGGGCGAAAGCTCCGCGAGTGCGGGGAGGGCGAGCAGAGAGAGCGAGCCCACCGCTCGCGTTTGAAAATGTCTCAAAATCAGTTAGTGCAGCTTTAAAGTATCGCCAATAAACTTCAGGACCGGAGTCATTCACTCATTTAACACTAGGACTCCCAAAATTCTAAAACTACTAAAACTCCCATTCAAACCAATGTAAGATTTTTACTTAAAATGTGAACTAGAACTGGTGAATATAACTGAAATACAGCTATACAGTTTTCTGACAAGTGCTGACAGTAAACAGTGTCTTTGCTACGGTAACTCATACTTTCAAAATGACTTCTCCGGGAGTTGAATACGGAACTCCTCACATTTCAAAAATATAAAGACATTTAAACACACTCCACATAGAAACAGATAAAGTAGCAGGTTATGAAGATCCAACATGTACTTTACACTACAAAACTAAGAGCCGTCAAAATGACTGGTCTGGGAGTTTTAGTGTTAAAACTTTTAATGCACAGGTGTCACGAGGCCCCTGACCTGAATTTCATTTATCATGATGAACCTGCTGCTTATCATGATGAACTTGCTGCCTGGCCTTAGCCATCCGTAAACTCGGGTCAATTATTATTTTCCTACATCTACGTCTGCGGTTACTCCCATTGTATCCCATCCGACCATTCAGGGAGCGGTGGAGGCGGGTGTTGTAGGTAGGTGTTGTGACGTCAAGAGTTTGCGTTGAATTTGCTGGCTGTAGTTTGGCAATGGCGGCGAATGCAATAGTAAAGTAATCCGTTCTGGTTCGGCTCCAAATATCAGGACATCGAAACCGGAGCAAGAGGAATGTTTAGCAAATGTCATTGCTGTAAAGATGTAGCTCTAATCCCCACAGGATTCGTTAGTGGCAACGGAGATGGCTAGGCTGAATGCTAAATGCTAGCGACTCACCAGGGTGCATCACACACGTCACGGCCAACTCCAGTTCGTTTCAATCTGCAAAACCTCCCTCCTGTTAACTAAGGGAGCTCAATGGAGCAAATCTACATGGACCTTAGTACAAAATTCAATGTGTACGATTGTATGGTGAGACCAGGCAAGCTTTGATAGTATGATAGAGTAGATAATATGTGAAAATGGACCATGGTGTGTTATGCCTATATTTAAAGCTATTTTTGTCAAGAAAAAAACAATATTTGAATGGAATTAGACAGTTGATACAACAAATCATTGGCCTCAGTCAACACTTACATTCCTTCATGCCTTATTCAACTTTGGTCCAGTTTTGGTTCAGTCCAAACAAAAAAGTAACAGAAAATAATCTCCAAACTCAAGACTTTTGGTCAAAATACCATCATACTGTAAAAACTGTTCTAGTTTCAGCCCCTGACTAGCCATGATTGGTCAATTTTAAGAGTTTCTGAGGTGAATATCTGAGTTGGGCGGCTGAGACATAGTCCCTCCAGCGTGTCCAAGGTCTTCCCCAGGGTCTCCTCCCGGTGGGACCTCCCCAGGGAGGCATCCTGAACAGATGCCTGAGCCACCTCAACTGGTTCCTCTCGACATGGAGAAGCAGCGGCTCTACTCCAAGCTCCTCCCGTGTGACTGAGCTTCTCACCCTATCTCTAAGGGAGCGCCCAGCCACTCTGCGGAGGAAGCTCATTTCACCCGCTTGTATCCGCGATCTCGTTCTTTCGGTCATTACCCACAGCTCATGACCATAGGTGAGGGAGGGAACAAAGATTGACCGGTAAATTGAGAGCTTTGCCTTTCGGCTCAGCTCCCTCTTTACCACAACGGTCCGATACAGCGACCGCATCACTGTGCGCAGTGATGCGGTCGCTGCACTGATCCGCCTGTCAATCTCACGCTCCATCCTGGAGAGGGCAAGGCACCTTTTTCCGGTCGAGCACCATGACCTCGGTTTTGGAGGTGCTGATTCTCATCCCACCCGTTTCACACTCGGCTGCAAACCGCCCCAGTGCATGCTGCAGGTCCTGGTTCGTTGGAGCCAACAGGACGACATCTTCCGCAAACAGCAGGGAGGAAATTATGTTGTCCCCGAATCGGACCCCCTCCGAACCCTGGCTGCGCCTAGAAATTCTGTCTATAAAGACAGTGAACAGAACCGGTGACAAAGGGTAGCCTTGGCGGAGGCCAATATGCATCGGGAACAGGTCTGACTTACTGCCGGAAATGCGACCACAGCTCTGGCTCCGGTCATACAGGGATTGAACGGCCCTCAGCAGTGGACCCCGGACCCCGTACTCCCGGAGAACCCCCCAAAGGACACCCCGGGGAACACGGTTGAACGCCTTCTCCAAATCCACAAAGCACATGTGGACAGGTTGGGCGAACTCTCATGAACCCTCGAGTATCCGATGGAGAGTATAGAGCTTATTTCTGGAACGGTCTTCCTCGAAAGGCTTCTACTCTGAGAAGGTTCAAATCCAAGTTAAAAGAAGGCTTGTATCTTCACTGTTTTTATGTGATTATTTATGATTTGAATGCCTTGTGTGATTGGTTCTATCTTGTTTGGTTTAGCACTCAGAGTTGCCTTGTGTATAAACTGTGCTATACAAGTAAACTTGCCTTGCCTTTTAACTTTCTTTCAACACACTCAGATGTAAAAGCCGTGGTCCTCTATTGTCACAGTGTTTTTGCATCAAAGCGAAGACCAGATAAGCAGAGCAGTGGCTGAGGCTGCAGAGTGCGATATGGGGAAGTCAGACACGAGCTCTTGAGTGCGAGCGTGCAGCTATTACTAAACTGCTCTGTATCTGCTCCTCTGTGGAGCAGTGTTTCCCAACCAGGGGTACGCCAGGCTATTTCAGACTAGAGGTACTTGAAAGGAATTATTTTTATTAACTTGCAAACGTTGATAGTAAGAGGTACGGCCAATGTGTTATTGGATTGGAACTGAACATTTGAAAGTGAATTACCTCAAGAAAACAACCATGTCATTTAATTAATTCTAAACTTTGAACTAAAATAATTGCTCTCAGATGATGTGGCTGGAAACTCTGCTCGAGGGGATACGTGTCTTCCATTGGCAAAACAATCAAGATAAGGCACCTTTTTCCAGTCGACTTTTATGTATATTCCCATTATGTAGTTAATTTGACCATGGATGGCCTCTATCTCCAATAGAGGCCACCGGCCTTACTGCAGCCTACATTAAGAAGATTTCCCCAAAGACCTCAGTGTGAACAATAACGGCTCGTCCTCAGCTGACCGGGAACCTACAGCTTTCATAAAGGAGAATTTTGTGTGGATTTTAGTGTGTCTTGTCATCCTCAACTTTTTTTATTTATTTAAATCCATTGGTTTCATCCATCTGCTCGCTCTCGTCCTGCTCTAGCTCCTCTCTGATCAGTGGTGCTCTGTGTAACTGCCTTGTTATCAGTCCTGTTCATATTTATATGCATTTTATTTGTTTGTAATTTTAGTTTCCAAAAGTATGCCTGTGCATGCTCAGAGCTTTGTGTTGCGCGCCGAAAAAGCAATCTCAGTAAGGAGACAAAAGGTGCATGGTTATCAGCACACAATTGAGAGATAATCAGAATTTGAAGGCAGAAATAACATAAAAAGACCAAATTCCTCACCCTGTACACAGCCAACGGGGTAAGTTCTTGTACTGTTATTTTCTGTAACTTTATATTTCATGTCTATTTTATAGTTAAGCTAAAGTAATTTTTCATTTCTGTCTTTCCATAGTTTTTGCTGTCTTTATATATGGATTGGTACAAGATGGATGCTAATAAATTAATCTGTTAATAAAGTAATCTTGTGTCTTGAGTGCTCGGGGGAATTCTACTCTGATTTGTCAGAACTCACATGTTACTCTATTCCAGCTGAAGTAGAACCACTGCACCTGCTTCTGCTTATGTTTGGGACTTCCATTGTGCAAGCATGAGCCAATGAGACCATTGGTCTGGATGGGCAGACATCCTGGAGACCCAGGGCATGATTTTGACTAATTGTATTTGAGTTTTAGATTTGTCTGAATGAGATAAGTACATACTTGGACTGAAAACGATACAAAAAGTAAGAAGGATTGTTACTGATTGTGACTTATAGAGCAAGTTTAATTAAAAATTGCATCATGGGTTCAATGTTTGATAAGTTAAATGATATGGCTGTTTTCTTGCGATACATTTATATAGTTTCCAGGCCAGCTGAGTAGAGCATGTCCTTAGTATACCATGTCATGCTCGCACATCAACACCTCTGACAAGTTATTAGACATGAAGTTGATCTTGAAGTTCCACTGTCATGTATCCGTGGAGGTCCGCGTTCCTGGTTGGGAACCCTGTAAAGATACATGGCGTGCAATGGTTTACTGCTTAAAGTTTTGAGTATTTCTCTGCAGTTCCATCCACCACTAAACATACAGCATACAGCGTCCATTCATTTTCTTCCACTTTATCCTTTTCTGGGTTAAGCACAGGATAAAGCACACTTCCTACAGCTCATCCAGAAGAATCCTGAAAAGCCCGAGGTCAGCTGAAAAACACATTCCTGAGACTTCCCCTGTTCCCTTCTTGTGGCGTCCCTGATGAATCCAAAACAGATGCCCGAATCACCTTCTCTATAGTAGCAGCAGAAGTAGCAGCTCTACTCTGAGCTCCTTACGGTGGACCGAGCTTCTCAACCTATTTTGTAGTAATAGGAAAATATAAAATGTGTCTATTTTCACCAAAGAGTGAAAAAAAGAGCACACAGATTAGTGATCACTTAACCAAAGATGGCAAAAGACAAATGTATACTATGCAATATTATTATGCCATAGATAAAGGTGCAGTAATAACAAAGGAAAGTCTTGTTGACACTGAGGGCATGTTGGCTTTAGAAGTAAACACATGTTCTTCTTGTGCAAATGTCATCACAGTGCGTTCCTCCTTCTGTCTGAAAGTTCTCGCTGAATGTTGGGGATTTAGCGTGTGAGAAAGTCTATAGTCCTGGCTCAAGAACCAGGAAGTCCACGTGGTCTCGATCTTTGGCGCTGAAGGCTTCGGCGATGATGCGGGCGGCCTCCTTATGCTCGCGGCCCCTCAGAGCAACGCCATTCACCTCCAGGAGAACGTGACCCACACGCAGACGACCACACGCGTGGGCCGAGCCTCCTTTCTGCAGAGGGGGAGGAGAGAAGAGAGGCAGAGAGAGGAGATGGGAGAGAGCAGAGAGGGGAGGAGAAAGTAGGGTAGAAGAGAGAAGAGAGGGGAGAGGAGAGGGGAGGGGAATGTGGAGAGGAGACAAATTAAATAGGGGAGAAAGCAGACCAGACGGAGAAAGGACAGAGAGGAGGAAGCAGAGAGAATATGAGAGGGGAGAGGAGAATTTAGATATCTTTGGTTAGAATGGCATTATAAAAAAAATGTGTATGCCATCACTGTGAATACTTGAACCCTCGGAGCGAATGACTTTTTACTTTAACTTTCTTGCTCCAGACTGTTTTACAGATGCATCTATTGCTTTATATTTCACCTTGATACATACAGCACCCTGACGATTTCACAGGACCCTCACGAGTAGTACTTTGTGATGTAGTTTTGGCAAAAGTTTCCCTCTGACTACAAAGTTCTGACACCTCTGCTCTGATTTGTTAAGACGACGTTACGAAATTAGCGTAGTATTTGTGTAGACGTTCTTGGAGGCCCCTGGCAGCTTGAGGCCCCAGGCACACCTCATTGTGGCGTCTCTTAGAAGGATTTGACTTTATTTTGATCTTTCACTTTTCCAGGAATGTGATGTGGCACGAGGAGAAATGAAGGAAGGACCCAAAATGCAGCAATGTCAAAAATGATTTCATGATGATGATAAGAGTCCATAAAAGTCCAAGGTAAAAGCAAACAAAAAAACAGGGGGATGAGTACAGGTGCAAATAGACAGAGAAAAATAATATGATGGGGCAGACAATATACACAGGGGAACAAGACAGGAAATAAACGAAAAACTAAAGACGTACCAAATAAAATAGCAAAACAACAACAACAAAATCGGGAACTGTGTAATTTTTACTGCCATCTAGCGTTGAGATCATATATTGCAAGTTTAATTCTACTACCTACACTACAGAAGCCTCCGAGGTATGTCGTGTTTGACAGTGGTTGCCAACACCCGGTAATTCACCGGACTACCAAGGAAAAAATCCTTTAGTTTGATAATGACCGGATCTCTCCATACACCACTGCGCCACAAATGTGCCTTGACACACGTGCGCAAAGGCGGACATGTAAACAAAGTCCGCGTTGTGATGCAGCAAACGTTGCAGAGGCTCTGGTGTTCACCATGGATCTATTATATTATACAGTTCTACCAACGCGGTGAGAAGAGACGCATGGAGGGATGGGAAATATGTGGGAACTTTAAAACCACAATGGTCCGTGAAGCCAGGAGGACATTGCCTTGGACACAGGCCGAACTGCGACTAAAAGCTCAGATTATTAGTTTTCACAAGGCGCTGCATCATCATGGTAAGAAAACAGAACATTCACTCACGCTGCTGATAAAGTATTCTGGCGATTGTTTTGTGGGGATTCTGTGTGTTTTATTTGAGGCTTGTCCCTGAATAAGTTTTGTTGAAACTTGTGACATAGTAGTTGGACTCGGAACGAGTCAGAACATCCTGGGACTGTGTTGTAGATTCTGCCTTGTTCTCATCACTTTTGGTGTATGAGAAAAGTTACGTATTGTTCACGTGTGAGTCTGTTGTGTACAAACCACACGATGTGCCTCCTGTTGTGTTAACGCTGTCTTTCGGAGCGTGTGGTTTGCGATGTTGACACTTTGCTGCCATGACGCCGGACTTATTTTTCTAGGTTGTTGTTCGGATTGTTCTTTTACATAACTGTGGTCCTCCATGGTTCCTTCTTCCAACTTGTGAAGACACGGTGAAAGCAGCAATATCAGTAGCTAATGCGAAACAAAAACTTGATTCTCGCATCCTTTTTGTCCCTTATCCACCACTGTATTTCAAGATGGCGCATTGACATGGAGAGCAGTCCTCTCTCATGGACATTTATGAGTTAAATTCTAAGCCTATGAAAACAATTACAAAAACATGGTTTAAAAAGGTCATATTTGTTATTAGTTAACTGTAAAAATTACACAAGGTAGCTTTAAGTGTATATGCCATTTGCAGTAAAACCATTTTGTAGTAACAAGTTACTTTTTGCAGTAACTTGGAAGGTTTTCTCAGTTTGAAATTTTTTCAGACAGAACGAGGAGAGAAGACATTATATACGACAAATTACAGTACATCTAAAGACCCAGGTGGTAGTCACAACAACAAAGACAAAAAAAAGTAAGTCACCATGACCTTAAAGACCTGGGGCTCTGAATTATTTTGGCACACATGTTCAAAAGTATGAAAAGTATGAAAAAAGTTTATTCTCATGTCTGAAATAAATATGTAACAGCAAAACTTGTACAGTTAGCTTTTGCTGATTTGTTTACCTCAAACTAAGCGTGATGCTACGTCACCCCACGGGTGGGGGGAGGCAGGCTCACAGGCAGAGGAGCAGGGATCCACTCTGGATCCACTCATTCCAATAGAGATGACAACAACTCTATGCAAGATAAGCCAATAATTTGACAATTTTTGAGTATTGCATGGTGTATCATCTAATTTTTTATCAAACACATGCTTGGGATGGACTGTAAACATTAAGAGAAGCAAAATATGGGACCTTTAAGTCATAGCTATTGTATAATATATTATTTATTCTGTTTAAATGGTTAATTGTTTATTATTCAATAATCAAGATGTGTATGTTTGCTTTGTGTGTCCTTGTTCTGTACTTCAAAAGTTTGATTGTAATTGAGTTTTGGGGGTGGTGGTACTCATTAGCTTTTTGCTACAGACCATTTATTTTGTGCATTAATACTGTTTAAATAAAATATATTTTTTAAAAAGGTCAGGGCCTGGTTAGTACTTTGATGCTAGACTTGAGGCACCTGGGAACACAGGGTGCCTCTGTGGGGCGGCTGGGGCTGTAAAGTGCCAAACTGTGGTTGTGTCCTTAGGCAAGACACTTCACCCACATTGCCTTGACTGAGTATGGTGTGTGCATGAATGATTTGGGGTACTGGTTGCCTTATGTCTGTCAGTGTGCCCCAGGGCAGCTGTGGCTACCGTAGTAGTTTATCACCTCCGTGTATGGAGTGAATTATTATAATGACATGTGAAGCATCTTTTGAGTGTCCCAAAACAGCGCCACATAAAACCGATGCATTATTTAGGATGAGAATTGTATATTTAGAATATATGTAGAACCGTTTCTTGTAATGTCTGCACCATTTTGTTTGGCTGTTTGATATGCAGTCCGTTCAATAGTGACAATATCAACATCACCTTCTGGAGTGAACACTGAGCACTGGGACCAAAAGAGCGCTGTTAACGAGTGAGTGAGGCGCTGCTGAGGTCGCACTCTCTGACAGGCCCTCGTGTTCTGGGCTCAGTCCTGTCATTGTAATGGAAGTGCCTGCAGTCCTGAAGGAGCAGGGAGGGAGCAGTGATTAGATGATGCTATCAAGTCTCCGCCGGAACAAAATGCTCGTGTGGTGGAAATATGCCAAGTGCCTCCGCTGCGCGACCTGCCAGGCTGAAGGAGAGCCACGTGGGAACAAGCGAGTCATTATGGAGATTGCTTCACGGTGCAACACATGGAGACGAGCGAGGGGCCGCAGACAGGAAGCCCCTATCAAACCGAAATCAAGCGATCTTTAACACAAAACTGTGAAAAGTGATTAAATATAATTCAAAAAAAATCTCCATTTTGGAATTATATTTTCTTAATTTGAGCATATTTTGACTGCCTCAAAACAAGATTTGCCAATGGGACAAGCAAGAGTATCTTGAAATACGACTACCGAAAATTCCGGACAATAAGCTGCGGGTTTTTTCCTGCACTTTGAAGGCTGCGGCTTATATCAGGTGCTGCATATAGTCCCAAAAATACAGTAAATGACTTTGTCCCATTGGTAAATATTATTTTAAGAGAACGTTGCTTCACATGTCATTATTCTTTCACTGAATACACTGTGGTGATAAACTACTACTGTAGCCACAGCTGCCCTGGGGCACACTGCCAGAAGGAAGGCAACCAGTACGTGCCGTTGGCCCATCTGATCAACACCAACCACACACCAGACTCATTCTAGGCAATGTGAGTGAAGTGTCTTGCCTTAGGACACAACAATTTGGCACTTTTCAGTCACAGACCTCTGGGAACACCAGGTGCCACAGTGGGGCGGCTGTAAAGTGCCAAAATGTTGTGTCCTAGGGCAAGACACTTCACCCACATTGCCTAAAATGAGTCTGGTGTGTGTGTGTGTGTGTGTGTGTGTGTGTGTGTGTGTGTGTGTGAGAGGCTGATGGTGGTTGGAGGGACAGATGGCACATACTGGTTACCTCGCTTCTGTCAGTGTGCCCCAGGGCAGCTGCGGCTACAGTAGCAGATTTTCACCACTGTGTATGGAGTAAATGAATAATGACATGTGAAGCGTCTTTGAGTGTCCAGAAAAACCATATATAAAACCAATGCATAATTATTATTTGTGATTTTGTTTGGGGTTTACAATTACAACGTTGGCATTCACTTCTACACTAAAATCAAATATAATCTCAAAATTTAGCATAGCAAGTATAAAATCTATAACTTTAGCATAACTTGAGTTCTTTATTTTGTTACACTAAAGCTACACATTTTATGCTTGCTTCTTTATTTTTCTGAAGTCATAGATTTTATACTTGCTTCTTTATTATGCTAAAGTTAGACATTTTATTTGATTTTAGCATACAGTTTTTGTTCACTTATGTGCTCCTCATTCGTACTGTTCTGTAACTGGTGATGCAACACTGACATTTCCCCGCTGTGGGACTAAGAAAGGATCTCTTTTAATCTTAATCTGCAACAAGCCTTAAAGAGCAGTTTGAGTGATTTCAATTCTAAAACACATCTTGCTGAATGAAGCTGACTGGACTTGACAAATCTATTCATGGAGCAAGAGTCAATGTTTAACTCGACTCAGAAAAACTAAAAATAGGATAAATAATGTTGTGTTTCTTGGGTAAAGAATGTGTGGAGAATGTCAGTTTGGAGAATGTCAGTTTGGCGCTGCACCGGGCTCTGGCTTTAGGCGTTCTCAAACTTTCTCCGGAAGAAACGAGAGAAAAGAAAAAGTCTTCACAAAATCAACACCGCTGTTTTCAACTGAGAAAAGAGCAAGAAAAAGCAGCAGTGAGAGAATTCATGTAAGTGGTAGAGACTGTTGTGAGTGTGTGTGCATGTAGCTTATGGGTGTAGTGTGTGTGTGCGTGTGTACATGTAGGTGTAGTGTGTGTGTGATGGTAGCTTGTGGGTGTAGTGCGTATGTGCATGTGGGTGCAGTGTGAGTGTATGAAGTGGGTGTAGTATGTGTGTGTGATGCACAATAGGTATGAATGTAAATGAGAGAGTGAATGGATGGTGTTGATTGGGGGCTGATGGTCCAGTGTGTTCGGCGACTCGCTTCCGTCATCACCGTGTGTGGAGTGATTGGAACAATATCTGAACTCTGAACATTGTAAAGCGCTTTGGGTGACCTTGGTCTGTAAAATGCGCTATACAAATAAACATGACTTACTTTCTAATGTAAGTGTGTGTAATGTAAGTGGGTGTAATGTGTGTGTATGTGCATATAGTGTGTGGGTGGGTGCATGCGTGTAGTGTGTGTGGCTGCAGTGTGTTTGTGCATGAAGTGTGTCTTTGTGTTCGTGCGTCGGTGTTGTGTGTTCGTGTGTGTGCGTTTATGTAGTGTGGGTGTGTGTGCTTGTGCGAGTGTAGTGTGTGTATGTAGCACACACTACACCCGTGTATGTAGCATGTGTGTGTAGTACGTGTAATGTAAGTGGGTGTAATGTGTACAAGTGTGTGTGTAGTGTGTGCGTGTAGCATGTGGGTGTGTGTGTGTGCATGCGTGTAATGTGTGGGAGCGTAGTGTGTTTGTGTATGCAGTGTGTGTTTGTGCGTGGGTGAGTGTGTGCGTGTAGTCTGTGTGTTTGTGCGTGGGTGTTGTTTGCATGTGTGTTTTTGTGCGTGGGTGAGTGTGTGTTTGTGTGTGCGTGCGTTTATGTAGTGTTTGTGTGGGAGTGTGTGCAAGTGCCGGTGTAGTGTGTATGAGTGTGTGTGTGGGTGTAGTGTGTGTGTGGGCATCTGCGGCTGTAGTGTGGGTGTGGGTGTGTAAGCCCCACCTCAGCATAGGTAAAATGAGGCTTTTGCATTATGCTAAATTAAACAAAAACTCTTTCTCAACTTTGATACACAAATCTTCTGACAACAAAGTGAACAATGCTATTGTCTGCATTTTAAAAGAGAAATGTTTCCACTAAATAACAAATTGTGTACTCGGAGAGCCCATACCCCGTCAACAGCAAGGATCACCTTCAATGGATTTTACTGAGGTTTTACACCATATTTAAGATCCATTCATCCCGTTTTTGCACAATTCTGCAACACACACAAAGACACACTACGTATATGCACACACAAACTCCCATTACACTATGAAAAATCCTCAAACTATCGCCTAAAGATGTTTTCAGTTGTCTTTTAAAACCAAAGTATTTCCTCTGGATTAAATGAGAGTGTGGGAGTTTGACCAGTAACATGACGTTCTTTACAAATGCTTGCCTTTCGGTAAGATGTTTACTAAAAGGGCAGAAGGTCAATTCCCACTTCTATCTCCTCATGTGTATTCATATATTTTCCACGTAACAAATGATTCACATTCTAACATGAGCTGCCAAAATAAATAATGTCAAAGTGAAACTTGAAAAATGTTTGCATGAAAGTTTTGATCTCCAGCAGACAAACTGGTGCAGAAAATTTGTCATCCTCTACCTTTACTGTATTTTACCTTCATAGTCTCTCTCTGGTTTCTGCTTTCCCTCTCTCTGATCTCTCTCTTTGTTATTTTCAACTATGGTTTCTCTCTCTCTCTGGTCCCTCTTTCTGGTCACTCTCTCTGGTCTTTGTGTGTTTGTGTGCGCACACACATACACACTACATACACCAGTATCCATGCAAATTCCACTCTAGCCGATCACTGTCATTTTGAACACTTTAGTGCCAGCTCGGCCCTGATCTAACTGGGGCCAAGAGGGACTAAAGAAGGACCTGGCACCGGTTAAACAGGGCCAGTGGAAACACAACCAATCAAAGTACAGTAGAGTACTGTAGGAAAAGTGCTCTACAGATTTGATTGATTGATAGAGTCAAGTCAAGTTGAGTCGAGTAGGGCTGGTGGAAACAGGGCTATGTTACGTGAGCTGTAGGTGTTCTGCTTGCGTGGCGCACCTGTATGGTGACGATGCGCGGTAAAGGCTGCCGTGTGTTGGCCCCGCCCTCGATAGCGATGCCCAGAGTGTTGGAGTTCCTCATGACGCGGACTAACATTGCAGAAGCCACAGGGACCGGGGACATCAGCTGACGGAAAACAATCAGATCACAGACGGTTCAGACAATCGAACGGCAAGACAGGAAGTGCAGTAATGACAAACACATTGGTCCATAAGGGAGCGGGATGACCACGGTACAGACATAAATGTCCTGGATTGGCGCTGTCCTTAGATCTAAAGCCTAGCGTACATCGACAGAGAAACTGGAGACAACTAGTTGCAAGGAGGCTTATGGCAACTGAGAGGAGATGGTGGGAGATGATCAGTTGCCGAAATCGGTCGATGTGCGCGCTCTTACAACTGGAGATAAACAGTCGGTCTCCAGTTTCAGTCAGTTGCCCGTGTTCTACTTTTCGGCAACTAGTTTTCCTCAGTTTCGGAGATATGACCCGATGTGCGCGCTCCATGCGCCGCTCCGACAACGTGTGTGTATTGCGTGTATTGCGCGCCCGCAACAGTTTATGCCAGAAAACACACTGTAGTTGAGGCCAGTTGCTGTCGATGTACGCGCTGTTATTCCCGAGACTGGTCTGCTACTGGGAGTTGCCCGTTTTCGTCATATTGTCGATGTGTGCGGGGCAGCAACTCATATGCGACGGATATAATCAGTTGCCAGTCCGATGTACGCTAGGCATAAGACAGACAAGCAGTCGATCCAGGACTGAGGCTGTAGATCCAGGGCTGAGGCTGTAGATCCAGGACTGAGGCTGTAGATCCAGAACTGAGGTTGTAGATCCTTTAATTGAGGCTATAGATCCAGGACTGGCGCTATAGATCCAGGACTGAGGCTGTAGATCCAGGACTGAGGTCGTAGATTGATGACTGTGGCTGTAGATCCAGGACTGAGGCTGTAGATCCAAGACTAAGCTGTAGACCCAGGACTGGGGCTGTAGGTTCATGACTGAAGCTGTAGATCTAGGACTGAGAATGTAGATCCAGGACTCAGGTTTTAGATCCAGGACTGAGACTGTAGATCCAGGACTGAGGCTGTAGATCCAAGACTAAGCTGTAGACCCAGGACTGAGGCTTTAGATCCAGTACTAAAGCTATAGATCCAGGTAATCTTTTTCCAAACTCCCATTACACTATGAAAAATCCTCAAACTATCGCCTAAATATGTTTTTAGTTGTCTTTTAAAACTAAAGTATTTCTAAAGTATGGATTAAATGAGAGTGTGGGAGTTTGTGTGAAGGAGAGGTTCCGTAGGTCTTTCCTTCCTGCTGCTGTCAGACTGTACAATAAGAACTGCAACTTCAGAATGTCACTGAACAATGTCACTTTACCTCATGTCACTTTACCTTAGCTACTTATTATCCTGCAATATTTAACTGTACAGTATATAACTGCACTACTACATGTATATATTTGATGACTGGTATTAAAGCATTTCCAGCATCTACAGCCAGTTATGCTAGTTAAGAAACATAGCTAGTGCTAATTTTGTATATATTGTGTGATCCCTGTGTGCTCTTAGTACTGTCCTGTATGTGTGCTGCAACAACAAAATTTCCCCACTGTGGGACGAATAAAGGAACTCTTATCTTTTCTTATCTTGACCAGTAACAAATGCTTGCCTTCAGTAAGATGTTTACTAAAAGAGCAGAAGGCCAATTCCCACGTCTATCTCCTCATGTGTATTCATATATTTTCCACATAACAAATGATTCACATTCTAACATGAGCTGCCAAAATAAATATTGTCAAAGTTAAACTTGAAAAATGTTTGCATGAAAGTTTTGATCTCCAGCAGACATACTGGTGCAGAAACTGTCATTCTCTACCTTTCTTTTACCTTCCTAGTCTCTCTGTGGTCTCTGCTCTCCCTCTTTCTGGTCTCTCTCTGATCTCTCTCTTTATGATCTCTATCTCTGGTTTCTCTCTCTCTCTGGTCCCCTGCTGGTCTTACTCTCTGCAGTCTCTCTCTCTATGACCTCTCTCTGGTCTCTCTCTGCTCTCTCTCTCTCTCTGCTCTCCCTCATTCTTCTCTCCCTCATTCTGCTCTCCCTCATTCTGCTCTCCCTCACTCTGCTCTCTCTCTCTCTATGATTTCTCTCAGCTCTCTTTTCGGTCTCTCTTTCTGGTCTCTCTCTGCTCTCTCTCTCTCTGCTCTCCCTCACTCTACTCTCCCTCACTCTGCTCTCCCTCACTCTATGCTTTCTCTCAGCTCTCTTTTCGGTCTCTCTTTCTGGTCTCTCTGCTCACTCTCTCTGGTCTCCCTCTCTCTGATCTCTCCCTCTATGCTCTCTCTCTGGTCTCTCTTTGGTCTCTCTGCTCTCCCTCTCTCCTCTGCTTTCCATTTGCTCTCTCTGCTCTTCCTCTGCTCTCCGTCTGGTCTCTCCCTTCTCTCCCTCACTCTGCTCTCTCTCTCTCTGTGTGTCATTGTGCATCTTTTCACCACACTTTCCAGATAGACTACAGCGCTGGTACATTTTCTATTATGTAACCTATTTTTGGATCTGAAATGCTATTGAAGGATGTTCTCAGGCATAAATGATGAGGAGAGATTGTGCTGATTCTGTCTGAAAAAGCCATTAGAGCGTCACATACTTCAGTCTCTCACTCCTGCTGTAATTAAATCGTGGCGAGAGCAGACCTATGTCAAGAACAATCTTCCCCTTCTTAAATTGAACTCGTACTGATAGACTGCAGACTTTACTTTTCTGCTAATGCTCTGCGGTGCATGACTCTGGCCGTGGTAAAAATACAGATTACCATATTCCTCTGGTTTTTAGGTTCTGCTATTTTAAGGTTTCTTTTCTTTACTCATATTTTCTGTTACCCTGTTTCTGTTTTCTGAACAGGCCGCCACACGGTCCTGTTTTAGAAGGCAATTATCTGGGCCTTAGAATCTGAGTGTTTCGTCTCTCTCTGGTCTCTCATTCTGGTCCCGCTCTCTGGTCTCGCTCTCTGGTCTCGCTCTCTGGTCTCGCTCTCTGGTCTCGCTCCCTGGTCTCGCTTCCTGGTCTCGCTTCCTGGTCTAGCTTCCTGGTCTCTCTCTCTCTCTGGGCTCAGCTACAGTGAGCAGCATGCCATAGGCCTTACCAGAAAGATTCCCTTTTTTATGGCAATTGTGACTCTTAAAACAAATAAAAACATATAATATAAATTATATAATAATATAAATATATGAAAAATGAAACACCAAGATTAAAGCTTGGGTTAAAGTAAGGTTCAGGGTGAGATTAGCTTCTGAAAGACACCTGTTATATTTCCGTGCTGAATGAATGGACGTCCAGAGGGGGTCTCACTCACCGGCCTGGTGACAGCGGCGGGCGGCGTGTGTGTCCCGGGCCCCTCTGTCCCATGCTGGCTCTTACAAGGGCGAGGGCTGCCGTCTTTACTCAGGGCCCCGGCTTCTGCGATGTCCACGCCGCTGTCCTCACTCAGCGTCTGCCCACTGTCCGACAACTGGGAGAGAGTGCCCCCTAGAGACCGTCAGTGCAAATTACATCAGACATGGGCCCAGTGCACAGAGGAGCGCTTTGGGGACCTGCTCTGTCCCAGAGGGAGACCAGAGGGAGACCAGACACTCAAGAGTGACCAGGGAGAGACCAGAGACCCAAGAGTGACCAGGGAGAGACCAGAGAGGACCAGAAAGAGACCAGGGAAAGACCAGAGAAAGAGATCAGAGAGAGATCCGAGAGACCAGAGAGACCAGAAAGAGAGAACAGAGGAAGACCAGAGGGACAAGAGAGATACCAGGGAGGAACCTGAGAGAGACCTGAGACAGACCAGAGCGAGAGTAATGAGACTCCAAAGAGACCAGAGAGTGAACAGAGAGTGAACAGAGAGTGACCAGAAGGAGACCAGAAGGAGACCAGAAAGAGACCAGGGAGGGACCAGAGAGAGACTATAGAAAGACAAGAGGGAGACCAGAGGGACACCAGAGGGAGACCAGAGAGAGAGACCAGAGAGAGACCAGGGAGGGACAAGAAAGAGACCAGGGAGGGATGAGAGAGAACCAGGGAGGGACGAGAGAGACCAAAGAGCGGGACCAGAGAGAAACCAGAGACAGATCAGAGGGAGACTAGAAAGAAGGATAAGAGGGAGACCAGAGAGAGACCAGGGAGAGACCAGAGATAGAGACCAGAGAGGGAGGAGAGAGAGACCGGAGATAGATCAGAGAGAGAGACTACAGGGAGACCATCTCTCTCTTGAACCAGATCTCTGGTTTCTCTTTCTGGTCTAACTCTCCCTCTGGTCTCTCCCGGATCTGTCTCTGTTCCCTCTCTGGTCTCTCGCTGGTCTCTCTCTGGTCTTCCTGTAGCCCTGCCCCTCAGCGCGGTGTCCTCCACAGCTTTTGACTGCTGCAGCAGCGCTCAGACCTACAACCAACAGGTTTTATATCTCTGAAATTGTACTTTAGCCGCTGTGAGTTCAAGGAGAAAAGTGTATAAAGTGTGTGTGAGGGTTTTACAGCCTTAAAACAGACAGCTGCAACTTTTACGGATTCCTCTTATTGACGTCACCCACAACTAATTACAACGCCCGCCTCGAGCGCTCGCTGATTGGTCGGATGGAATTCAACTGATTGTAATCGCAAACACAAGGACCAGACCCAGACGTTACATGCAGGGAATTGATAATCGAGCGGAGTGTATGGATGGCCAGGCTATGTCAGTGTAGGTAAACATGGCGCTCACCTCTCTGTTGCGTCCTGCAGTCGGCTGTGAGGCGGTTGCCATTCGTGATGACACGGTGGGCCAGGGCAGGGGAGCAGGGCGCGTCAGGGGAGCAGTGAGAGGGGGTGGTGGTCACCAGGGCAGGGCACGGTGAGGCGCAAGGGGAAGGGTGCGGAGAGGCAAGCGGAGACACGCCTTTGGACGAACAGCCCGACCGGGACGACACACACGACTTCTCATAAGAGCTGGAGCGAGAGTAGGCCTGAAAGGGGAGGGGTAAAAACACATACAAATAATACTGTACATGTTCAATAGATATTCATAATACATAGTTTACATTTATCAGATGGAATAATAGTAACAGTCACTTCAATGATTTTTCACTCCCATGTTGATATTTTTTTCTCAATAAATAACACAAAAAATTCCTGACCCCTGAGTATTGTGAAAAATGGTAAATGATAAACAAACTCAACAAAATCTCTCTCAAATCTATCCCTTTGGTGAATCTCTCTGAACTCTATCTCTCTGGACTCTAGCTCCCTGGACTCTAGCTCCCTGGACTCGATCTCCCTGGACTCGATCTCCCTGGACTCGATCTCCCTGGACTCGATCTCCCTGATTTTTCTCTCCCTCTCTGGTCTATCTCTCTGGACTCTTTCTCTCTGGGCTCTCTCTCAGGTCTGTCCCTCTGGTTTCTCTCTCTCTGGTGTATCTCTCTGGACTCTCTTTCTCTGGTGTCTCTCTGCTGATAAGAACAAATTAAGATGTGCTTTTTCCCGTAACAAATATGTGTACATCTTTCAGAGGCACTCTTGTAATCTAGACAAACAGACTCACCTCAGCTTTAGCCGGTGCAGAGTTCGAATGCACAAACAGGGAGCAGCGGTTTCCCGATGGGGGGCGTCCCAAGTGAGGATGGCAATGGTGGGGGAGGGTCTCGGGCTGAGGACACAAGGCGGACAAAGAGGCGTGATGTCCGGGACCGGTGTGAGGGGAGGTGTGGGGTCCGGGACAAGCGTGAGAGGAGGCGTGGGGTTCGGGACAGCCGCGAGGGGAAGAGGGCCTCATGGACTTGTGGAGACAGTCCTGCAGGAGGCGGTTAGGACCAATCTGAACCAGGCGGGCGGAGCTGGTCTTCTCTCTGCCGCAGCGACTCGGGGGTCGGAACAGGGGAGGGGACTGTCTCACCTGCATGTCCTCCTGTGGGGACAAACAGACACAATTAACTGACTTTTTCTGTTTTGATATGTATTTTATTTATATTTATTTATATTTTGTAAATATATCCTTCTTTGGAAAGGTGAGTAGTTCTATGGCAATTTAAAGTCCTTTTCTCAATGGTCTGTCCCCGGACTTTATCTCTGGTCGCACCTCCAGAGAGGTCTCTCACCTCTCTCTGGTCTCTCTTTGGTCTCTTTCTCTGGTCTCTTTCACCTCTATCTCTGTTTTCCCCCCCATAGTCTCTTTCACCTGTCCCTCTGGCCTTTTAGCCTACAGCATGCTGACCACCAAGAGCCGCTGGGTCATAGTAAAAGTGGCATATTGCACCTTTAACATAAGGCTTCAAGCACTGCCAACTGTAGAGGAAAAATACTATTATTTAGATTAATAACATGAGAAACATAAAATACATGGGGTTTATGTGTAACAGTCTCGCTTTGAGGGAATGTAAAAATATTTGTACTCCAAAACATTGTAAAGCGCTTTAGGTGACCTTGGTCTGTGAAATGTTCTCAATAAATCACGATTACAGCTCAATAAAAAGTACATACAAAAATAGTGAGAAAGCAGTAAATAAGCAATACTACTTCCATCAAGGCTTATATCAAGGTCGGTTTTGAGTGTCCCTGGAGCCAGACTCAGACTAAAGACATGTCAGTAATTAACGTGAGAGCCTCGATGCTGCGTAGGACCTCGACTTCTCCCAAACGTCAGATCGGCGGCGTGCGACCTACCAGCACCATGTTGTGTAAGGCATTCAAGTTCTCCTCCTGGTGTCGCTGCATCCAGCCCAACACTGGCCCAGCCCCCTGCAGACAAAGACAGACAAAACGAAAACTATCAGCCCAGTGCATGATCCTCTGCTCTATATCAGTCAGCATTAAGACTTCAGCTGTAGTCTATTCATTGCTATTCACTCCCATTGCCCAGACTTGTATGCTGACGCTCCTTTTCCCCGCCTGGGAGCCTCTTCAGTCCTGCGCCACACAGCCTTAGTCTTGGTTCTACAGCTTGAGTCCTGGTTCTACAGCCTCAGTCATGGATCTACAGCCTCAGTCCTGGATCTACCACCCAGTTGTGGATCTACAGTGTTAGTCCTCATTCTAAATCCTGTCTGTTTATTGGAGCGGATCACTCTCTCCATATGAGCCTCCAAGAGGTTTCTCACATTTCTCTCACTGGGTTTTTGAGTTTTTCCTAGTCGATAAGGGTCTAAGGACAGTGATGATACGTGAAATTTATGGACAGTGGTCATCCCACTCCCTATGGATCAGTGACTCCATATGTGTTTGTTATTATTGCATTTCCTGTGTTCAAACTGTTTGATTCTCTGATCTGTAAATGGTGAATCGACAACTTTGTAAAGTCCTCTGAGTTGACTGCTGTTGTGATTTAGGGCAATACACAAATACATTGAATTGAAAGAAAGAGACTGAGAGAAAACATGAGCACTGGCTCTGAAATTACAGCGTTGGTTTGGTCGCTTGTTTTGGATGCTGCTTCTCAAACCCCAGGGGAGTCCCTGATGAGCCCAATGCCCAGGCTGTGTGGCTCGGGCACAGACCAGACTGCAGTTAATGTTTACAAATGTGGATTTTTATGTGCAATAAACTGGCTCTAAGTGTGTGAACAGATGCTGAGGGTGTGCTGGAAACACTGCGTGATGTTGTTTGCATAATTGTTGATGCTATACTCAAAACCTTATTTCTCTGTCAGTGCTGATTATAATGATCATTTCCCAAACTGTTTCCCTCTTCCTTTACCTCCCCACTAACCACAATTTACAATAAAGACATTTTTGCACATCACAGGGATGTAAACAAATGCCTAACATCAAAAAAGTGGATTAACCATAACTGATAATGTCTTTCCTGAGGCATAGGTACTCAGTGAAGACAATTCCAATAGGGAAAGAGACGGACTGAGACTGTAGATCCAACACTGAGGCTGTAGATCCAGGACTGAGACTGTAGATCCAGGACTGAGACTGTAGATCCAGGACTGAGACTGTAGATCCAGGACTGAGGCTGTAGATCCAGGACTGAGACTGTAGATCAAGAACTGAGATTGTAGATCCAGAACTGAGGCCCCAACTCCACCAGGCGCGTAAAACGGACGACGGATCCGTCCAATCGTGTCCGTTTCATCTCCGTTTCCGTTATCTCAATGAGGGTGAATGGAAGTGGCTCCACTGCCTCCAACATGCATCCGTCCGTCAACGGAGGGTGTAACGGACGGACGAAACAGAAACAATCCTATTTATTCTGTCTGTCGACGCATGTCGGGTCCGTTTTCCATTGAAAATACAATGGAATAATATGTTTACCACATTATTAAACATGTATTGATATAAGCTGTAGTCCTTGGTTAGTATTTGTAAATGACAATGATTATTAACAAATGTGTGTAATTTTTTTAATGTATTAAATTGAAATAATTGTTTCCTGATTGTAAATCTACCATATATTTTTCGCGTAATGTTAATACGCTAATCTTTACATACACCTCGCTCTTTTTTCTCTCGCTCTGTCCTCTCTACCTCCAAGGCGCTCTCTCCTTACCGCCGTGCGCTCCCATCCACACACACACGCACACACACACACACACACTAACACACACACATTGCCCACAGAGCTGCACTTATGAGAGACAGATCTCACAACACTGGATATGTTGGAGTTCTTTTCTCTCTCCCCTTTTTCCAATTGCTTTCAATAAGTTTTGCCTCATCCATTGCGACGTCCTCGATGCTTCAATATGCCGTGCTTTGCACTGATCATAGCCACAGCTCATGCACATCACACACCGCTTCTTCTATTTAAAGGAATAGTTCACCGTTTTTACATACTGACATATGTTCTTACCTTACCTTAGACTAGTTAATACGTACCTGTGTGATCTTAGTCCGTGCGCTCTGTCATGCAAACGGAGCAAAAACGGGAGGACAAATGCAGCCTCCTCTGTATACTGTGTAGCACCAAAAGGTAGCTCCCGCTAGAAGCTACCAAACTCTTCCAAGTGTTCCCTATTAAATGTATATAGTTACGTGACGTGTTACACTGCAAAGTATAGTAACACAGAAATGTAACTGTCGATTTTCTCAGCGGATAAAACGGGTACTATATTGTGAGGCGTAGTAATCTGAGGAGCGCTACGTCCGCGCACTAACTTCTCTCTGTACTACAAGTCACGCTGCTTCTATTGACTGAAGTGAGCGAGAGAGAAGTCTCCGGACAGAAGTTAGTGCGCGGACGTAGCGCACCTCAGATTACTACGCCTCACAATATAGTACCCGTTTTATCCGCTGAGAAAATCGACAGTTACATTTCTGTGTTACTATACTTTGCAGTGTAACACGTCACGTAACTATATACATTTAATAGGGAACACTTGGAAGAGTTTGGTAGCTTCTAGCGGGAGCTACCTTTTGGTGCTACACAGTATACAGAGGAGGCTGCATTTGTCCTCCCGTTTTTGCTCCGTTTGCATGACAGAGCGCACGGACTAAGATCACACAGGTACGTATTAACTAGTCTAAGGTAAGGTAAGAACATATGTCAGTATGTAAAAACGGTGAACTATTCCTTTAAAACAATTCCTCATGGGGTGCTGATAAACGCACAGCCAGAGTTGCGCGCTGCTGCAGCCGGTTTGGCCACTATTCCGTTTTACGGACGTCTGACTGGCAGCAGCCAACGCGCGTCAACGGAGACAGGCAGGCAGGTGTGGTTGCTCCCTACCAGTCCTGTCCAGGGGAGACCATACATATGTTTCCGGTACGTATTCTATGTTCATGAAATGAGTCTATAGTGCAGTGTGTGATGCGACCTCCCACGCCCGAGTTAACAAACCCAATCAAGATCAATGAATACGATAATGAACCCAACGTTCTAATGACAACCGCTCTCTGCTGTGTCACTCTCTGTCTTATAAAGTCATCCATTATCTGTAACTGCTGAGTCCTGCTGGGTTTGTGTGTGGGGGCCAGCCAAGGAGCGCCTGTCCATTACACTACAGTCTCTGACTAATGAAGCCGCTGGCAATTAAGAGCAATTAGCTGCTTAGAGAGGGCTGCAAATCTCCCACCACAAAGAGTCCTCACGGGCAATCAGCCAACTCTCACTTAGACTCCAGGAACTTAGAATAGTAGCATCAGATAACCACGACCCACTGGCAGAGTGAACGATCGACGTTAAGTGACTTCTGTTCTGGTGAATCTAGAATGATAGTTCTTCATCGCACAGCCTCAGTCCTGGTTTTACAGCCTGTCCATCAATGGGACCTAAGTGTTTGATAATGATGCGTTCTCCGTGTTCAAACTCTTTGATTCGCTGATCTTTTCAACAACATGGTGAAGTCAACTGCTGTTGTATTACAGTGCTATTTGGCCTTCATACACATGTCCAGAGTAGTTTTTTCATTGATTCCCTCAAGCTTTCTCCTTCATTCTCGAAAGGTACAGAAACGAATCGTTTCTAATCGTGCCGTAGCATAATCCGTGACATCAAAAACCAGCCTCCAAGAGGTGATTGACGGCAAACAGAACCAGCGAATCAGCGCAGGCTATAATCAGCCCAGCGCTCTCTCTGTGTCCAGCGTATAGTTCAAAGACTGTAAATAATTATGTTTTTTCTTCAGATTTTAGCTGTAAATATTTGGCGACGGTATTTGGCCCGAAGACAGAGAATGAGGCGAATGGGGGATCCTCCAGTCTGAAATCTGAAATCCGAAACGAAACTGTGCGAGTGACGGAGACATTTCACCAAAGTTCCAATGTTCCAGAACTACAGTTACCTGGAAACGGGACATACTCAAAAGCTGATCTGGAAACCTTGTGGATTGCCATTGTTGGAAAAAGTTTATTCCCAGGTCTGAAATTACTATGTAAGCGAAAGCTGTACAGTTAGCATTTGAGTATTGTATGATGGATCAGCGAAATTATTATCACACATGTGCATATATGGACTGAAAAAAAGCTAAATCTGGCACCTTTAAGAGCGATAAGCAACAAGAGCGAATGGGAAACAATAAAAGAAACTATAGTGCGTATGTAACAGATTTGTAAGTAAGAGTATTTCTTCTGCAAACTACAATATCCCTCCCCTATCTCCCATGCCTTTTCAAACTACTTATCCTCAGACTTTGATGTTCTGTTGTTTTTTTACTGTTATTAATTTCCTCTTAATTTACAAAAAGCAACGTGAGTAACATGAGACGTGCAGTCATGGTTAATCACTGGGAGAACGGCCGCAGTCTGCCCTGGCCTCAGTCCTGCTCCTGCCCCTCAGCACTAACCATCATGACCATAATGAGTTGGTTTATCAGAGGAGCCAGACTGTGGTGCATTTCACCTGAGCTGCTGCGGTGTGTCCGGCATGTCCTGGGGGCCTCATCACCCCCAGACCCCCGTGAAAGGCCTGGGGCACCTCCCTCTGTCTGTGCAGGACCAGCCCATCAAACAGCTCCAGGTCCTGGGCTGAGAGCAGAGCACGCACCTCCGACAGAAGAGATAACTGTAGACACACAAACACACAGCGAGACACACACACACGTACACACACACACACACACACTCACTCAATGATCTTAAACTCATACTACTTATTCGTTCTCTTATTATTACATTTGACAATCCTAAATAATGTTCACATGCATACTTGTGCATGCTCCTACGTGTGTGTGTATGTGTGTGGTCGTACCTCTGTGTGTGTGTGTATGTGTGTGCTCGTACCTTGGTGTGTGTATGTGTGTATGCTCGTACCTTGGTGTGTATGTGTGTGTATGTGTGTGCTCGTATCTTTGTGTGTGTGTGTGTGTATGTGTGTGCTCGTACCTCTGTGTGCGTGTATGTGTGTGTGTGCTCGTACCTTCGCGTGCGCTCTTACTTTTGTGAGTGTGTGTGTGCTCATACCTGCGTGCGTGTGCTCGTACCTGTGTGCGTGCGTGTGTGTGTTTGTGGTGTGTGTGTGTGTGTGTGTGAGTTCGTACCTTGGCATGTGTGTTGAAAAGCTCAAACAGGGCCAGGACCATGGGCTCCACACTGATGTGTCCCTGCTGGTACTGCTGCAGGTAATATGTCATGGTCTCTCGCTCCGTCTGCGTCAGTAACATGTAGGCCTGCTGCTCCAGCGACACTTGCAGGCCTGGAGGCCCCACAGCCCTGCAGCCTCCGGACTGGAAACACACATGCACCATGGATGTATGATGTTATCTACTTAAAAGGACAACTCACCCTCAAATCCACTTTTTTTTTCTGATAAACGGTATAAATGAGTGTCCAATAGTGTTGTCTACATATCCTGGTCATAATTTTTGTCACTTTGGTGCAAATTAGATGAAAGTTAAACTTTCTGCCTAAAACCGTCTGTGAGGCGCCATCTGCTGGCGACCTGTATTACTACATTTGAATTTTGAATCTGGCGCCAACACTGGCGCGGCAGCAAGACCTGAAGTCTGAAGCAAGACCTGACGTCAGCAGCCCCCCGCCCAGAGCAATGTAAACGGCCCAGTCTCGTTCACGAGAGATTTGAACAGGAAATGTTAGTGACGTAAGCTCCGAGGAGCGGGGGTGAGAACCACTTTAAACCAAACCCCGCAATCCAAGATGGCGTCTTATTCAAATCAGTGGCTTGTGCTCAGTAGTGCATGGTTCACCATGGGCTCCCATGATGCTTTGCGCCAAATGCGAGTTTGTGGCTCTTATGCACGTGCACAGAGGGGCACAATCAGACGCTGCTGATCAGAGCACTATTAAGAGCGGAGCCAGACGAGCAGAGTTTGTTGCACTTGTCATAACCCGGCTCAGTAGAAATAACAGAAACACGCCAAACAACAGTCGCCAAATGAAAGAATATTTACTAGTAATAACCAAAGTTAATATTTTAATGAGATGTGGAAGTCTGTAGTGATTGCGTGCGAGTGTATGTGCTGTGAGAGTATGTCTACAGTGTTGAATTGTGTGTAGAACATAAACCAAAAAGTACCAAACCAACCCAACCAACCCAAATCAAACCAAACCAAACCAAAGCAAACCATTCAAAAAGGAGGCGGGACACGAAGGTGTGAGGATGGGAGCAGGATGAGCCAACAGGAATCTCTGGCATGTGCACAAGCTTTAAAGGCGCGGCTCCGTGTGTGACGCACGCGCACCAATGAGCGCCGCTTCCACCTGAGAAGGAGAGGCTATACGGCCTGTCAGCGGCCGTAACACACTAAAGTGTGGATTTTTTTTTAGAAAACTAAGGATTTAAGAAGAAAAAAAATTCGGAGGACAAGGGACACAAGAATCCCCACAAAATCTGACCTTTATGATATCTGTAGGTTCTCTGTCAGCTAATCATCTTGGAGACCAGGGGCACGCACACCCACAAACACAAACACATCATGCCATTACCATTATCTTTTTCATATTCTGTTTTTTGTAATAGCTAATAAAACACTCTGTTTCAGTAAAACTCATCACCGACTTCACTAACATTCTCAGTTCGGGGACTTCTCAGCGAGTGTCACTATTTTCCAAAACTCCTCTGGTACATTCTGTTCTGCTTTCAGAGACACAGACTCAGACGGTCGAGTTCAGGATCTCGAGTCGGGGGCGAGTCATGAAAACTTTCCAGTACAGTTTCGTAAAGATGTACAAAAATGGGAATAATTTATTTCGTAAATGGTAATAATTTCATATTTTATCAGGGACAATGCACAATAAACATTGGTGTTTTAAAAATGAACTATGTCATGTGCAGATTTTAGCAACAATATATCCAGAAACTTTCCACCCGATGTCCCTCGACAGGTTGAGGACATACTGTAGATACAGAAAAGCATAGTGCACACATTCAGTACACACACAATGGTGAGTGTGTCTCAAATGGTAAATGAGCTACACTAGTTTAATTTCAATTTAAGTCAATAGGAGCCAGAGCGACTTGGAAAAACAACTTCACCATGAGCATTTTATTAGCATTCTCATTATAGCGTCTATGAGGTGATGTCACTGTGCACACTGTACAGCGGGTGTCAAACTCATTTTTACCTCATGACGGTATTTTGACATTACTTTTGTTGTCCAGAAATGTGTTTATTATTTGGATTTAACCAAAACTGGACCAAAGATACAGTGAAACATATTGTTTTACATACTGAAAAAAAGTATAATCGTTATGATTTATTGACTAAAATCACACTAGCAAGTTTGTTTGTTTTCTTTTCTTGTTTGAACAAAATAAGAATGTTATGCTATATTTGAAGAAAAGATTCTTGAAAATGTTTACAAAATGAGTAAATAATACTTGAAATGTCTGTTTTAAAACTAGAATTATGCCATTTGAGGCTAGTATTATTTTCTTCATTTCAGAAATCTTGTCAAGTCATATTTTCTCGTTCTATAGACAGATCATTTATCTTAATTTTAGCAGTATTTTACATATTTTAAAAAAAAATCATATTTTTTCCAAGGGATTTTTTCCAGTGTATACTTCTAATGATGTGTTGGACTAAAATTAAATATGTTTTTTTTAACCTGAGAAAATAAGTGATGAATCACATGCCATGGTAGTTTATTAACATCAATGCTGCAAGTTAATATTGATATAAAAAAGTCATGAATCATCAGCTCGGGCCTGAGTTTATCATGTCTGGTCTACAATCTATGATGCTGACTTAAAATAAGAAAAATAGGAAGTTCTGTCCTAAACGTTGTGAAGGAAAAGCAGAGAGCAGCAGACAGAGTCCCTGCAGATATGAGAGAGAAGCCTCGATCTGCTCCACAGTTATCAGCCGCTCCCGGGGCCCGTGGCTTCTTCACAAATTCTTCTTTATGAGGACATAGTTTCCCTTTCTGTTCTTATGGTTTAAACAAAAATCTGTCATATTTTAGTGACCGTTTAGAGACCAGTCTATTGTCATATTGACTTTGATTCGCAATGTATTGTTTTGTGTTTAATTTTTTTCTTTTTGTACAAGTCTCTCCATGGCCTCGCACTAAAGTACATGTGAGACATGTTAGTGCCATATGAACCACCTCGGACTCTGAGGAGCACAGGACTAAACAATGGGAGGCAGATGTACAGCATGAAGCTACAATCTGGAAGAGTCCTGCAAATGTGAGGCAGCCTTTTTTTTGGACAAAGTTCAAATCTAGTTTATCCTTTTTGTCAAAATGACCCGCCACAGTTATGGGGTGACAGTGGCTCAGTTGGTAGAGCATTGGCCTTTGGGCCTCAAAGTTGTGGGTTCGGGCCTACCATATACTTCAAGGCTCCCACTGTTATCTGCTGTTGTTGTGTCCTTGGGTAAGACACTTAACTCCATCTTGCCTGAAGCCCCCGCTGAAGTTGGGGGCTAAAAGGGTATATATGACCCAGGGCTGGTCAAGTTAGGAAGAGTCATCCAAAATCAGTTTGAATTTTTTAATTTAGTCTATTTTTTAATCACTGTGGCGGGTCAATTTGACCAGAGTTTATCACAAAAAGGTTAAATAGTTATTTTTAGCTGCGAACACAAGTATCAGTGTCATCACTCTTTTTAATGTGCTGTGATTATTTAGGATTATATTGCATTATTTTAAGAATGGAGCCTGTGAATGAGCAAGAGGATGTGTGGAGGAGAGTGTTGCCCAAGGACACAACCAGAATCTGCTGAAAGAAGCAACTCACCCACCTTTAATGACTAAGCTTTTCCATCTCCAACTGCAACTTTTACCTTTCCCCATGTTACTTATTATCTCAAAGTAATGGATCTTTTTTATTCCAAATCCACATTTCATTCTTGCTCTGAGAAAAGGAGAAGTCATTAAAGGCATAAGTAGTTCATTTAAATTCTTCTGATTGCTTTAAAAGGCAGTGCAGGTCTGTTTGAGGGGACTGATATAAATACTGAGAGTTTGAGACGCTCATAAATGAATCATCTTCCTTTCCTTCGTAAGGTGAACATTAGCAGAGGATAAAGCAGCACAGATGGTGCAGCGTCACTGCTGTCACACTGAGGTCACGTACATACAGTGGACTGACTTTGGCAACTAAAGAGCTCCTAAAAGTATCAATACATCTGTTCAACAACGAAATATGCAGCCTACGGAAATTCAGTCTGGTAAGTTACCTGCTGCAGCTCGTCAAAGCCAGCCTTTTTTTACCCTCTGCCAATCACACAGCCCCAATTCCCAATTTATAAAACTACATTTTTAGCAAGTACACTCAATATTTTACAAGACTGATTACATATGCCTGTCTAGTAATTACTGTATTAATATTCAAAGAGAAGTTAATCAGCCCAAGTGTATTCTTTCAGGGAAAATAAATAAAACAATCTCTTGGTTGGTACAGTAACAAAGCTATAACAGAGCTATTAAATATTCACATATAGCTTCACTGTGATAAACGCGGTTTGCTGTATGGGACTGACGAGCTGCAATACAGCACCCTTTAAATCATAAAGATCACATAACTCCAAATATCCATAGTAAAACTTTCAGCAGAACATTCCCTTCAGTAGATTTACACCGTATGCTCCGTTTCATCTTCAGTCCCAAATGCAGAATCAGATTTGTCAGGTTGAATGTAACTCTGCTGCTCCTCGCCCAATCAACATGTTGTATACTTTGCATTTTGCTTTGAATGTCGAGACATCCTTAATACGCAGTTCTTAGTTAAGATGTTATGTTAAGTTATAGCAGTCCACGTGGGTAAATGCGTCCTCCGCATTTGACCCATCCTGCACTAGGGCCTCTGTTAGAAGCAGTGGTTGATGTTGAAATAATGGGACCCATCACTACAAGGATTTTTCCTTGTAGTGGTTGGGGAAGTGTCAGCCTGAAGAAATATGGTGTAAGGAGAACTGGGCCCACTTTCTACAGCAATCAAAAAATGACTGATCAGATTCTGGTGGAGGATCCTGCAGTCCAAGGAAACAAAACTCTGTAGACTATGTACAATTTGTTTTTTGATTTGTTAAACAAAGAAGAGTATGTATCTTCATGGTTACTGCAAGTGAAACAATTCCTAGACAGCTGGTCTGTCTTACATCTGGACGGCCTATTCGCTGATGCTGTCTGTGGAGCGAACACTAAAGGACCAGTTTATCCAAGTGGCGAGGACAATGCCAGAGCATTGTGTAATATCTGTGTGGAATTTAAATTGAAAAATATTTGTTGTGTGAGAACAAAAGCTACAGACACTCCA